TAGGAGATTGTAAACAAGAAAAAAGGAAACTGAAAAAGTTTTGAAAGAACTCTTTGGATTGGTTTAAAGAAAGTAATAAGACTTTATTAGCATGGAAGTATTAAAACTTCTTACGAATATCTTTTTTGTATGTGGTCAGAAGATCAGGGAAAAAGTGTTCATATAATTTATATAATAGTTTTTATTTTTTTTTTAATTTGCAACCATTTTTCTTTATTGAAAAGTTTATATAACTATAATATTATAAATTTTTACAAAAGTGATTAATTCATTATTATACTTAAATACTTAAATCAAATTTAAAAAATAACATTTTATTTCTCTAGAAGATTAATTTAACTTTTATTTACAATATTTATTATTAATAAGTTATTATTATTAATTAATCTAAAAAATCAAAAATTATTAAATTAAAAAAAAAAAGAAAAGGGAATAATTAAAAGATAACAATTTAAAACTTATTCAAAAAATTAATAAAAAATAATAATTTTCTTTCAAAAAATTTTTGGTAGATTAAAATATATATTTTTTACTTCAATTTGAATTTTAAAATAGATTTTTTTTATTATCTATGCTATTTGAATAGTTAATTTAATAAATTTATTATTTAAGCAAGTATTAGATTGAAATAATTCAAGAAAGTAAAAAGATCTTAGCTTTCATTTAATAAAATCTTTTTATTACTTAAGAACTTTATAAATATGAGTTTATAATTCATATTATTTATTATTTATTTTTTGATATTATGAATTTTTTCTTAAAAACTTGTAATATTAAAAAAAAATCTTTTTGAATTTTCATTTCTAATTATCATTAATATTATAATATTATATAAATATAATTAATAGAAGCTTATTTATATTTTATAAACCAATATATTTTATATTGATTAGTTTTTTTAATTAGAATTATACTATTTAAAAATTTAGAATCAAATTGATATATGTAAAAAATTTTAGAAAACCATAAAAATAAGAGTTTTAAGGAAATAATTTATAGTCAAGGGAGAAAAAAATAAGCTTTTTATTATATAAAACCTCTTATTTATTTATTTTAAAGATTAAAAAGACCTTTAGATACTTTATAATTGATTTTTTATTCTTTGAGAACTTTCTTGTTATTAATAGTAAAAATGTTATTTGATTTTTCTTAACTATCAGAAGTCAAGTTTTTTGAGTAAAAAGATTTTTAAACAAGAGAAATGAAGTAGAGATAATTCCTAAAGTTATATTTCAAGTTGTTTTAAGGATAATATTAAGATTATATTAAGAAAAAAAATAACAATAACTTTTTATAAATATCTTTTTTGTATATAATTAGAGAATCCATGAAAAGAGTTGCTATATAATAGTTGTTTTTATAACTATTGTTTATATATACAGTATATAATAATAAAATGTTTCTTTTATTTTTATTTACTTATTATTATTTATTTTATAAAATGATTAAAAATATTAGAAAACATTTAATATACTAAAAACTTAGATCATATAAAATTCGATATACAGTAGTTAGTATAAAAAATAAATAAATAAATAAAAATTAACTAAAAATAAATAAAATATATCTGAATATATTATAATTTAAATTTAATGGTTTTGATAATTTTGAATATTATTGAATAATAATAAAATCTTGAAATATTGATTTTTTTAAAAATTCAAATTATATACTATAGATTATAAAGCAAATATTTAATTAATTTTTCAAGTTTTAGGTTTATAAGAAGTTTTCATTGTCATTTATTATATTTCATAAAATAAATAAAAATTCTTTTCAATATAATATATTAAAAATATTTAATAAAATAAATAAATAATTTTTTCAATATAATATATTAAAAATATTTATTCTTAAAAAATAAATTATATATAGCAAAGATAAAAAATATTACATATTCGTTTTATTATTATTATTATTATTTAATATAAAATAATTTTGAATATATTAATAATAAATGCATTTACTTAATTTTTATAAAATATTTAAAAATATATTTAATATAAAAAAAACTTGTATGTTGCTAAGGATTTAATTATTCATCAAATGTTAGGTTAATTCTTAATTTTATGTTACTACGGCTTTATTTAAAGCGTTAGGTTAATTCTTAATTTTATGTTACTACGGCTTTATTTAAAGCTTTAAGGGGGCTTCCATTTTTATTTAAATGTAATTGTATCCTTATAAGGGAAGATTTGTAGATGAAAAAATGTTATATAAACGTTTGATTTTAACGTTCGCTCGTAGCTTTTTCAAAAACTCATTACCTTCAAGATGGCCAAACGAAACTACGGCAAGGAAACGATTGGACCTTACGTTCGTAAAAATACCACCGTCGCCTGCAACTATTGCCGTGAAAAAAAGGTTAGGTGTGAGGGAGGACCTCCCAAGTGTTTGAAGTGTAAGCGTGACGGTATGAACTGCCACTTTGAGAAAGCCACGAGAAGAGGGCCACCTAAGTCGTATAGAAAGGTTCAAAAGATAAAATCGGGCGATGTGTCGGATAATTTTCTACGAACTACGCACGGTGGCGACAATCACATTAACGGCGGCAACCACGTCGGCAACATCGATAACATTAACAAAGGTATGACAACAAAATCATTGGCAAACTTCGCTTTTATAGACCTTTGCGAGACGAGGCTAACTTTTTAAAATCTCCAGAGTGCTTCCTGCCGACAACAAACGAAAATGAATATTTAGAATACCCGTTACCTCGCGCACCCGGGGTCCATAGTAAAAATAACAATTTTAAAAATCAAAAACCTCACGCAACCGAGGGCCATGATGAAAATAACAATCTTGAAAACCAAAAGCCTCACGCAACCGAAGGTCATGATAAAAACCAAAAGCCTCACGCAACCGAAGGTCATGATAAAAACCAAAAGCCTCACGCAACCGAAGGCCATGATGAAAACCAAAGGTCTCACGCAACCGAGGGCCATAACGAAATTAACAATTTTCAAAATCTAGGGCCTCACGCAACCGAGGGCCATAACGAAATTAACAATTTTCAAAATCTAGGGCCTCACGCAACCAGGGGCCATAACGAAAATAACAATTTTCAAAATATAGGGCCTCACGCAACCGAGGGCCACAACGAAAATAACAATTTTCAAAATCTAGGGCCACACGCAACCGGGGACCATAACGAAAATAACAATTTTCAAAATCTAGGGCCTCACGCAACCGGGGGCCATGATGAAAATAATAATTTTAGCGAATGGTCTTACACAATTGTGAACCATAATGAAAATCAAAGGCCTCATGCAACCGGGGGCCATGGTGAAAATAACAATTTTAGCGAATGGCCTTACACAATTGTGGACCATAATGAAATTCATTCAATGGAATTATACGAATTAAAAAATGATATTCGTATTTATCGTAATGATAACTCTGCTAATATATTCCTCACAGGACCGGCAAATCCCAGCGATCTTATCGAACAATTAAACATGTTTTGACAGTAGGACACTTGTTTTTGGCAAGAAGCCATCATACCATATATTCTAGATTATAAATTATAATAAAATTGGTATCCATAACTCCCTTATCTCAAAAACATTTGACTTTGATAATCGTTTTTTTAATTACAGTAGATTACGCGATGTACGAACAAAAGGATTGAAAAATTATTGCATTATAAAAGGACATCTAAACATGCAAAATTTTATAAAATTGTAAACACACACGTTGCAATTAAGTATATCACAATTATTGTTATTATTTAACAACAGTATAACTACTACTCATGTTTAATAGTGACTTGGCATTTTTTTCGCAAGTAATGTAATAAACCTCTTACCCTTGGTTTTATTAAATGCAACAGAATTTCCATACGTACGTATTAATAACGCTACAGTATATACAATATACAGTAAGCATTATAGATTACTCAAAATGCACGCACTGTGATTTGATCTCGATCCGATTTTATTTTGCTTGATCAAAGATCGATAATGATAATGACGCGTTCTTTATGGAAATTGTATGATCCCTTTTTACACTGTTATTTAAAATATAAATTATTGCAATTTTGCAAATGTTAATTTTGAAATGCAAACTTTGAATTTTGTAAACATATAATACAAAGAATATTGTAGGTTGTGAATAAAAATAATGTATAATATAGATTTATGTTGGATGTTAGTCGATTGCCAGATTTCGATAATATTTTCAGGGGATACTATAAGTGGCGCATGATTACATTCCACGCGGTTATTTAAATAAGACGAGTCTTTTTTTTAGCCGTAATAATAATATTGATTTCCGTTCATGTTATTATTAGGAACATAATAGGCGTTGTTTCCAATTCTGGCTTGACCAGTTTGAGCAAAGGCATTACTGTTTCCAGCTTGAGCAAAGGAATTACTGTTTCCAGCTTGAGCAAAGGCATTATTATTGTTTACAGTCTGCGAATTAACTGGATTTGTCGTATTAGCAAAATTGGCTGTGTTGTTATTCATTTCATTCGAGTCGGCCAATTGGTCTTTGCTCGCATTTGCGCCGAATTTTTCAATGTCATTTGTTTCTGCTTCTTCAAATTTCGCCTTTGCATAAATTCCACGCTAAATTTAATTTAATTTGGTTAGTTTTACTTTAGTAATAAAACCGTGAACGAGAAAATGTTATAAAAGTTTAGATAAATACATGGTTTGAACAATATAACATGAAGAATTCAACAATAAGTTCGGCCAATTTCTAAATGTCGAAAAAAGATTATTAGCTTATGTTAATTAAATTCGTACGTATTAGTTGCAATTTAAATTAAGAATCCATCCTAATACTCACCATAACAAACCAAGCTCCAAATATGCTCACAAAAAGGGATACTACATCAAATTGACCGATAGAACCGTGTTGTTGGAACACCAAACGGATCCTTGAATAAATAAACTTGAGATTCTAGTCTCTACACGCTTGCAATAAAAATTTTACTTACCCATGCCTGTCTATTATGGTGTATGATCCATCTGGGTTTAGAATATTTTCGGCAGTTTTATATTCGTTGCCGTCAATAACTTGAGGCAAGTACTGGTAAGAAATATCATCGACCTGTTTGAAACATAAATTAGGATTATTGAAATTTGCAAAAAAAAAAAAAATTATTTTTTGGTTTTATTAGAAGTAAATACAATGATTTACCTGGAAGCGGACGTTAGTGTATTCAATTACTATCACTATGACTATACCGGAGGATCTGTATGTTTCTCCGTGTGCTTTGTCTGCTCCGGGAGCCGTAGAAGGTGCTGGATTTGACAACTTTTATTTAATGTCCTCACGTCTAGGATCTAAGAAACAAAGGAAAGGAAACCGAATGAATAATCTCCTAACCATCTAAGTTTGCTCCTGCAGCATCGAGAATTTGTTTAATCGTAAAAATGTCTCCGTCGGCATTAGGATTGGATTGCATCTAATAAGGAACATTAGGAAATTCGTAAAGTTTAAAGAAAAAATTTTTTTTTTTGCTTATTTTCTCTTGTGAAATCGAAACTATCTATTTACCCTTGTCTTATTAGTAAAAGATTGGATCACAGTTTTACCATCGGACGACATGAGTTGTCCATTTAACAATCCATTACGGAGTGCTATCGACGTGACTTCTCCTCTTATTGAGTGCTCGACCATGATCTAAAATGATTTTTTATAATAAAAAATATAAAGTAGGTTAAATTAAAGGCAATAAATATCATAGCAATTAATTTAAAGGTACGCATTTTGTAGTCATACCGTGTAATCCTCAATATCACCTATGTAAGATTTGGGTATTGTAACATTCGAGTTAGAGGAAATTGAAGGAGAGCTTGGGTTGAAGAAACACGGATCCGATGGACTTGAAACATTCAGGAAGTTACACCCCGGAGGTGGTGAATATTTTGTCATGGACACTCTGGTGGTGAAAAATGCTACACCAGCTCCATCACTTGGATATTGGACTAGTTAAAATTGGAATTGTTATTTGGTTTATGTCGAACCCAATTGTCGAAATTAGAATTTAACGCAGTTACTCACTGTCATTAGCGCCCCAGTACAGACACGGAAGCGAACCACTAACGCAATACGGAGGTTCAATAAGAGTTGTTGGAGCTTTTAGCGTGATTCTCACGGCACCAGGTACCGGTGGTTCCTGAAAATTAATGGGATTATTACGGATTAATGAAAAGAATAGTCGAATTCTCTTTGAGATCTGTACCTTTCGGAGATAACCCTCATTAAATATGACCGTGTAGGCGATGTATCCTATTGCTATGAGTTGAAAGAATCGATAAAGTCCTCCTAATTTTCGGCTGATTATAAATGAAAGATTTTAGGCAATGGCCCATTTTCAAATTGATTGAATTAAGAGACACTTGCCTTCTTATTTTCGCTATTTTGATTGTTTCGTAACTATATATGCATATATGCAGTATGTATTTTTTTTTTAAAAAAAATAATAGCGGTAATGATTCTTTTTTTTTTTTTTAATAAGAATGAAGAAGAAAAAGAAAAGATTGGGTGGTTATGAAAACGAACCTTAATATGCCTTCTATAAGTTTAACCATGTTGAATTAGATTTTGTGTGTATGAGTTGGGATAAGTCGATTAAAATGTTTTAAGTATAGATTTTTAGGAGTTCATTGCAAAATAGCAAAATAATGAAATTACCTTTTTTTTTTTTTTTTTTTTTTTTAAATAAAATATTTCCTTCCTTCCTCCACTCAATCATATAAGGTAATAAAACAATGCACAGTTGTGTTAAATGACTTGTGATACGATAATTTATATTCAAAATTGAGCGACAAAATAATTATTTGTATTACAGCATTTTTTTGTTTCATTTCGAGTATTTTCTTGATTGGTTCTTTAAGAAGAATGAGGAAAGTGTGCGCAACATTTTTGTCATCCATAGAGGTAGGCACACGAATTCCTCGCAGACGCGTGTACGAACGTAACGCACGTACACAATACGCCTGCGAATATGATTCTTATTTACCGCAGTAAAATACGTGCTGACTGACCGTTCATCGGATCTGTTTGTAAACAAACTCAACATTCGAATAGGGAATACCATTTCTGAAACAAGTAAATCTATTGGCCATTTGTTTCGACTTTGTTTCCAGTCAGCCCATCTTTTGAGTAACATCTTTTAGTGAATTTACCCAAATTCATTTCATTCTTAGATAGCGAAAATTCAGTTACGTACGCGTTTCAATATAATGAATTTTTAATTATTATCGATAATTAGCTTGAAAATATATAGTTAAATACTATTACTGTGTATGTGTTAACGGATTTTAACTGCAACAATTACGTAGATAAAAAAGGGCAAGCAAAAAGTAAATCTGTCCAGAAACTAGTTTATTGGTATCTGTTCAACCTTGGCTAACCAACCATACTTCAATATGTCGATTATTTTACTTTGTAATAGTAAATCTAACGGAATCCTTAATGCATGACTTTCTGTCCTTGGTTTCCGCATAAATTCGGTAGAAGTAGGTGGAAGGCAATTTTCTATGTCTGAAGCGCAAATTGACCCTGATGACGATTTCACGGCCAGGAAACAGTCTTCTGCTGCCTTTAAAGAGAATTTTGACGACTCTCTCACGACCTTCTTCAAAGTGAACTAACTTAATAATACGAATCTTATGGACTTTGGATTCAGGAGTGATACGAAATTTAACGGAATGTGTTGCTCCGAATTTATATGTTATACCCGGACGCTTAGGATAGGCTATCAAGAGGGCTTCATGCAAAAAGAGAGAAATACGTAGGTTAGGGCGAAGAGGAGTATATTTTGAAGATCGTTTCAACTACTTACAGGTGCATCTTTCCCCAGTTTCCTCGGCAAAGTTGACGGTCAAAAAGGAGAGCAGGAGTAAAAAAGCAAGAAAGAATGAAGTTTTATACCACAAATTCATTTTTTGATTGACCCTCAAAAGTTAGCAATAGTGTGGAAGTTGGACAGGATTCCGCCTCTTTTATTAAAAACCCATCGAGGGTCGAGACTTTTCCAAAGTAACTTAGTCTCGTATATTTGGACTTCGCGGAAGTTATGAATGATTAAGTTAAAAGTCCCTCCACGAACTTAAACTCTTATACAATCATTTATATAAATTATAGTCAAAAGTTAAAAATTACTTTATCCTTTAGCTAATTTAAATACTGCAACCTGGTTGAGAATAAATCAGACTTGTGAACCACTTGAGATTTTCGGACATAGATTATACTTGGCGTTTCGGCAATTATTCTAATTTTCCTAGCATCATTATATCTTGAAAGATCCTGATTCTACGAGTTTATATGGTGTTTCAAAGTTAACATTGGTACATAGCATGAAATAAATATCTTTTCTTTTAATATTATTAAATAATTTTTGGAAGTAAAAATAAATATTTTTAATTTTTATTCTAAATCACTTTCTCAATTATTATTCCATTTCAAAAATTTTGCGTATTTCAACTATGAGAAATTTTATGGTTAAGAAGATTGTTAAAAGTTTTTAAAATAACCTCTGTTTATCGTGCGTGCAGAAATTTTCCAAACCTCCTTTCAATTAAAGTCAGTGAAAAGGTTATTTCGGATTTACACTCAAAATAATGCATTTATTTTTATTTTTTAATTTTCATTACAATTTTTTTATATTTAAAAAATTTGTTTAAGATCCCTTTTCTATATATTTATTTAACCCACAATCATGTCATTATAACCGGTTTTTATTGAATAGTGATAAAAAAATCCAATATCATATCATGTCTACACTTTATACGTTATCAATTGAAATATTGAATTACTTAAAAAAATATAAGAAAGTTAACTAAACTAATTCAAATTAAACAAAACAAAATTAAAATTAAATATGCTAAATCAAATTTGGACACGATTTTTCACTTCTCTTTAAACACCACATTTAGATTTCCTAGTCAAGAAATCATTATTAAAAACTCATTACTATTAATTATTTTGAAATTAATAATTATTAAATTAAATTACATAAAAAAAGAAGAAATATTTGAGAATACTAAAATGGTAACTCTTTTTGCTGATCCTCTACCCATACACAAAAAAGATGTTTTTTATTTCTTTGCTAATAAAATCTTAACACTATCCCTAAACCAACTTGAAGTTTTACTTCAAAAGATATTTTCAAATTCCCTTTTTTGTTTATATTAATCCTCAAACAAAAACCTAGTTTTCTTTGATCTAGAAAAGTCACGAAATATTTTTTCTACCTATAGCAAAAAATTTTACAAGAAAAAAAAAATCATTAATATAATACTCAAAACCTTTTATATTAAAGTATGTTTATAGAGGTTTTGTATAATGAAAGGTATCAAATATTTAATCATATTTTCAAAGTGTCTACTGTTTCTTCCTTCTTATGGTCACTTAAAATTTTTTGATTTTTAGAAAAATTTATTTACCTTAATTTGACCCTAAATTTTAAGTGATATGATCTATTGTAAAAATATGATTGATATACATGAAACATATTAGTAGCTGAATGTAAACAAATCCTTATTGATTATCTTATATATTATAATATTATTAATGATAAGAAGAATTAATTGATATCTTATTTCTATTTACTGTATTTTTCCAAAAATTGTTAAATAATATCATAATCAACAAGGATTTCCATTACTTTTCAAAACCCTTCTATCATTATAAAACAAAATAATTATTGGGAAATCTAATCTTTTAAATAATAAAAGATATATATTAGTTTTTTTTTTTTTTTAATATAACCTACTGTCAGGTTAGTTATGTGTGCTTTATTAAACATAATGTAGGCTATACTATTTACAGTGTCACTAAAGCTAGAACGC